ATATATATATATATATATATATATATATATATATATATATATATATATATATATAGCTGCAATAATCAACTACTAAGCTTGAAATCAGTGCTCCCATCATGCTTTGCCCGCTTAGGGTTTAAGGTTTAAGGTTTTAAAGTTTAAGGTTTGCGAAGGACAACCTTTATTGAATTAGCTGTATATATATATGTATATATATATATATATATATAAATATATATATATATATTTGTTTCGTATGACAAGCATTGCTTGTCATACGAAACAAATTTGTAGTGAATAAATCTTATGAAGTAAACCAGGTTTATATATATATATACATATATATATATATATATATATATATATATATATATATATATATATATATATATATATATATATATATATATATATATATATATATATAGAAAGACACTAAAACTTAGCATGCTTTGTTTGGCATATTTATTACTATACAGTTTCGTACCACGTAAATAACGTGGAACTCTTCAGATAAAATAGCCTATGTTTGACCTATAGCTCCTAACGAACTTTTTAAATATGTACAGATGGTAAAGGATGCTTATCTACTGATTACAAATCAATTAACACCTTAAGTATAGTGTCTCGAAAATATTAGTATCAAGTTAACAAGTTTTTAAGTATAGAAATTTATTAGCGTGTCTACACGCGGAGACAAGTTAGTTGCGAAGATTAAGTGTTGCAATTTCCGGTTTACAAATAATAAAATATTTCTCCCAGATACACAAGTTACATCTCTTGGATGCATTACTGTAAGATTTAGCACGTTTTAAAATTTTCCATCTGATAGAGTAATTAATGTTATTGTTCTTAAGAATCCAGATGTAGTTACTTAATTCAGTAGAGTTGCGCTTCTCATAGTTATTAAATGAGGCTTTGTGATTGGTGTATTGGGTTTTGAATTCATTTTCTGTTAGTCCAACATTTGAGTATTTCTATTGAATATCTTGTGTAAGATATGGTCTACTGGAAATTCCTCGTCTAAATTCTTTAAAAAGGTCTGACCAATATTAGTAGCGCCATTTTTGCTGAACGGTGGGTTGTAACAGGTTATATTTCGCCCTGTGTTTAAATGGTCGGCAGCTGGGAAGCATTTTCAAAATACTAGATGCCCGGCAGTCTAGAATTTTATAAGTTGAACCTGTCTTTTACTCGTAGCGATTTTATGATAGGAGTAAACGTTATAATTATAGTTGTATTTGCAAATATTCATGACCATGATTTATAATAAACAAATGGGGAATTTTCCATATATTTTCCATTTTTCCATTTTTTATAGACAGTAGGCCCAAAGAAAGTGCGATATATTTCCTACCTTGTATTATATAAAACTTGCAATATTCGCAGTTGTTTTAAAACAGAATATTGCCGCTTTTGTAATTCGTATTGCTGCAGTATAATATATAGCTCGAGCTCTAAAAATAGTAATATTAAATCATTGTGAATTGTGAATTGTGATTTAAATATACACTGCCGGGAACAGTCGCAGAAATACTATATGCCCGGACATTCGGACCGGAAGTTGGTAAAGGAAGTGATTGCGCAATGCTATAAATAATTATGATATTGATGTCTAAACGCGGGAAATTGTATTTCGAGAGTTGGTTGTATTATAACCTGTACACTTTAATCATTCAATCAACAATGATGACTACAGAATTGAAAGGTAATAGGGAATGGTCATCATTTAATAGGAAGGGGGGGGGGGGTTGAAAATGCATGGGAGGGCGGAAGCAAACAAAGTTCTACTCCTACATATAAGGGGAGTGAAAAAAGTTATGCCATGTTCCAAAAGTTTGCGAAGTTTAAATAATAAATAATAAATAATAAATAATAGATAATAGATAATAGACAATAGGCAATAGACAATAGACAATAGACAATAGACAATAGACAATAGACAATAGACAATAGACAATAGACAATAGATAATAGATAATAGATAATAATCCCCGAGCCGACGGGGCGAAGCGCCGTGCGAGGGTACTAATTCCCTCCGGCTATTTACACCTGGGGAAACGAAAGCATTAGCCAAGTCTAAAGTTCATCAATGAGCGCGGCCGTGGGTTATCGTGAGTGGTTGTTCGGTGGGTGGTCATCCTCACTGATCTCAAAAATATGGCGGACTGTCATGAATAGCGGACACTAGCTGGTGCAATTTATTAAATAAAGTTTGCATTATAACGACTGTCGACTGTATGACGACAGCGAAATAGCAAACATTTCTTGATTTGATGATTGATAAATTTCTTACAAATATATTTAATTTTTGCTCGCATTTTTGCAAGATTTTGTAAATTTCAAGAAAGAAAGGGCGAAAGAATCGGCTAAAAGAAGGGAGCCGACGTCAACAAAGGTAAGTTTGTTTTAACTATTGATTTTATAACTGCTTTAAAACCCGACGGCCGTTTTGGCCCTTTGGCTTTGCGTATATGAAACAACCGAACTGAAAACAAGACAGCATATAATTTCAGTGTATTAATAATATTGATTCCCTTTTTTATATTGAATTTTTTAAATAAAAAAGAAAGCAAAGTTATTTGCATGCGAGAATTTGAAATCATTTTATTGCAAACTCAAAGTTTATCGATAAAGCCATTTTAATAATTAAAGGCAGTTTTAATAGTTTTATAAAGAACATTTTAAAACGTTTTGCGAAGCTTTTGTGGTTGAATTTGACCTTAAATTGAAGCTTATATTACGTATAATAACATACCTAACTTATATATGTTGGGAAATTGATAATTTTGTAATATATTTTATGGAAAGTGATATATCAGTTTTAGGCGATTTTTCATTTGTAAGAATATTCTTAAAAAATTATCGTGTACCATGACAACAACTTTGGATACTTCATGTTCGGAAAATACAATGGTTTTGTCAGCAAGGCGAGGGTTTCTGCATGCATGTATTTTCTAGTAAATACGTCAATAATACGTCTTTGATAATGGCTGCCGTATAGGTAGCCGAAACGTCAGAACAATTAAAAATTTAATCTGGATGATCGTACAATAAATTAAATTAATAGTTAACAGTTAATATGGTTAATTAGGGACTTGATGGAAGTACAATACAACTCATTAACCCATTAAGTGGCAATGCACCCTACTTTATTATTTTATTCTGTCTAACGCCAGACGATTTTACTCGTCAGGGGGAGAGTGCTGCTACTCAATGGATTAACTATGTTGGTGTACATTTATACACAAAGTTTGCCCTCATTGGTCAGATGTCTATTGTAATTTCCCCAAATTAACCAATAGTAATGTTTGAATTGATAAGTTAAGTTGTTCAAGTCACCGATGAAAAGTTTATGGTAATTGACTGGTTTTGCATATAATTACATAGAATATGAATATGAGGCCATATCGTGAAGAGAGTAATTGCAGCAAGGCCTCTTCCAATTACTCTATTAGGGGCTGCATGGTAAAAAAGAACAGGTGAGGCCATAGCATAGCCAACCCGCTGATTTAGTCCCGCTATGCAAATATTTTCGTGTTCATTGACTGAAAAAAATCACTAATTTCTAAAGAAATGAATATTGATAATAATTTTGAATTTGCATAGCGGTACTAAATTGTCGGGCTGGCTACGCCACTGGCCGTGAGTGAGGGTGGGCAAATAAAATTGTTGGGTGTGTGTTTCCAGTGGGCAAAATCATGAATCAACGGCGTAGAGATTTTCGTAATATATTTAAAAATACATTCTAAAATGATTGGGTTTGATTAGATTACATTTGATAATAATTGATTTGGAAATAAACGATAAAACACATTACAAATGATCATTTAAATTAAATACCTGAAGAGTGGATCTCTACAGCTTGAAAACACGCACTCCTGTCATACAGACACAAACTTATTTCTCAGGCAAACTCATTCACTATATTGTTACTGTTCACTGTTCGATTACTATCAATCAACACCTATATATCATATTACCGCATCATGCAAATCAGAGTTAAATCCGGTTGTAATCAAGTTGATTTTATTAACAAATGTTACTTATATATGAATTTAGAAAATGTGATTATAGGACTTATAGCTTAAGTTCAATGTTTCACTATAGTTACAGAACTGTCCGAAACAGGGTGGGTCATTGACTTTCGAAGGCAATGGAGGTGGTCCATGCAAATTTTATGGCTACACCACGAATCAACACTTTCTGTAACTTAGCACATTGCATACTGTTGTATTTATGTAGAATTCAAAAAGAGAACATATCAATATAACATGTTACAATAAACTGGAAAACAAATTTACATAGTTGCAACATTCAGAACAACGTTCCCCATTTTTTTGTGGACCGCTTTAAATATTTTACAGTTTTGATATTCAATAACTTTCTCTCTTTATCTTTTTAACATTTTCAAATTTAAGAACTTAAGTTGTAACACAAGACAATTTTTGCAAAACTTGTAATCGAGGTTTTTCTTTTTTACCTGTACACACTTATCCAACTTAATAGCCAACCTTGCGAGAAATCCTAAAATTAAGCAGGGAAATTGTGGGGCATCTCACACTCGCACTAGGGGGTTGTTCATATAGCGGTAATCCATTGCATCCAACTCACTTTTTGAGATAGATTGTATAAGATGTATACTTATAGTGTATTTCACAATATATAAAAATTGTATCACACGGTGTAAAATTGTCTAGTGTTACATGGATGTAACAATGATCACAGACTATCCCAATTTAGCTTTGCAACACTTACAAAACCAGTTTCTTGATTTTGGCTGTTTTTTAGCGAGGTACAGAAAAAGGAAACCAAAGCAAACATCGGTCACATGCAATACTCTCCTGGTCATGAGATATAACTTTATCGCAATAAGAGCAACACCACTTGGCATCGTTTTTTTTTATCCAACACATTAACTACAGCTAACCAGCCTTTCTTGTTGAAATACTTTGCACGCGATTGATATCGATATATTCTTCGTCTCTGACCGTGTCTGGTATTAGTTGCATATTCGATTACAAATCATCATCACCCAACAATCGCTTTCCACTTAAGCATTCGGCAGCGGCCAATTTTCCGGTTAGACATTCTAGAATTATCCAGGACTTTTCACCAACCTTTAGTTTGGATAATGGTAATAACTTCTGTCCATCATCTTTACTTCTCTTGCATTTGGGGAGTCCAATTGCGGTTAGTTCCGCCCCTTTAGGACGTCCCCTCTTCCTCATTTTAGGGGGCATTTTTATGAAGTCATATTCTGACTTTGGAGAGGGGCTACGTTCTGTTGAACTACAGTATCTGCAGGTTTACTGACTTCCACAACCTGTGGACAATCGCTTACCTTAGTTGAGGAAGGAGCTGACTCGGGAAGATCTTCATGGGACTTAATCTTAGTGGATTGTATGTCACCAAGGTCTTGAGAATTTTGCTGTGATGGTTTTGTAGTATCACCTGTCTCTGTCAATGGAAAACGTTCTACCTCAACACCAAGTTTCCATTGCTTGATGACATTTTTTAAAAGTTCGTACTTGTTGGTAAACGTTTTTCCAGCCATACTTTCTCTCGTTTTACATTTTCTGCGATATCTCGCAGACCATCAAGTTTCAATCAGTGTTTGTTTGTTTGTCAGTTTGTCCGTTTGTTCGTCAGTTTGTTCAGTGGCGGATCCAGGATTTTTCGTACGTTAGTCAAAGTTTTCGGATGTACAATCTAGTTTTGCGGGCGGCGAATGCGCGAGGCACCAAGGGGGGGGGGGGTCTGTCCCCCAGGAAGTTTTATATTTTTAAACCTCCGAAACGCAATTTGCATCACTCTGAAAGCAGGCTTCAACAAAAAATTAACTTCATGAAATGGGAGATAATTATAGCAACTATCAGTCTGACTGACTCTCACAACTCGCTCCTTAGGGAAAAGTAAAGGCGAAGTACTTGCAGAAATGTAATAATTGTGGAAGATGTTTCATTTCATCAAATTACGGATTGCTAGTATTAGGCTATGTTTAACTATCTCACGATAGTACATTACGATAGTACTACATTAATTTTTGTTGCCTAATAGCCTTGTTGAGTCATTGATCACTTGACTGGTAATCACTACAGTGTCATATTTCTCAAATAAACAAATATCAATATTAAAGTCTTAACATTCATCTATAAAACCTGACCTTTATATCCTATGTACACTGCATTAATGCATTTTGCATTTATATAGGTTATCTTCCATATTAATAGCCTTCTGAGTTCTGACGGACTTTCAACCGCAGAATTACAAATATGCAAATTTGTTGTGTAAATCAAAATTCATAGCTAAATCTAAATCAAGATACGCGTATTCAAGTTACAATTTTACATATACATGGCGCGCATCTTGTTCGCTTATAAATATTGTTATGCTGTCTAAAACGAAATAAAATTTACATATCACATTAAATTTACCTTATTGCACTTCAGAATAAAGATCTCAGCGCCAATACTTCTACTCAAACAGTCAAACTGTTGTTCGTGCTATTCGTGGCGCTTACACCGCTTAGCAACTGCTCACTGAATGGAACTCTCCGATCTTTAGCGTTGCCTTTCCTCCCAAAATCAGCGCAACAGTCTTGTATTAAAGACAGCTAAATCATTCACCGCAAATGCGGATTCAACCGTTTCGTGAATACTACAAGGACTGGAGTCTGGAGCAGCAGACATTTCCGAATTTTCCGTAGATATCTTTAAATTGAATCTTTCGACAAAGCCGAGGACAAAGCTACAAAAACATGACACTACGAATGAGCGCGCGCTCGGAAAGACTTTCCCACGAGTCAAATATTAATGGTATTCCGACTAATGGAGCGCCCTTGACTTTTGTAAATCGGTCAAAACTCCCAACAGATCAGTCAAAATCGCAAAAAATCGCTTGTTGCCATGGCAATAATCGTCTAGACCAATCAAAACACTGGATTTTGACTTTTTAACTGACCGACTTTGCGTATGTCAGCTGCTCATTGACCTGACTAAGCTCGTCGGCTCAACCACTGTTTGAAATTTGATCACTGGACTACAGTTCGATTGGAATGTTAATTACTAGCGCTGCATGATAATATAATTATTATACAAGACTATTATAAGGTGTCGCTGCATGATAAAAAAATAACTGAACTATTGGTCGAATATTTAAGACTTTAATTAAGTTTGCAATTTTTACGTTAATACGTTTCCTTAATCGCCTACTGAAAATTCCTTGCGCATGCTCGGAATTTGTTAATTAATTGCTATTACTCTTGTACTCTCAAGATCGACTACTTGCTAGACTTTTATCTCTATTTTTTTGCGTCAAACAAGGACAAAAATATTACTGTTCGAATCAACGTGAAAACTTGTATTTACGGATGGAAAATTGATTTCAAAATTGTTTTATATTTTAGCGATTTATGGCCTTTGAAAGACAAGTCGCTCAAAATAATCCTTCACATTTTCCGAATTCCTTTTTTCGAGGGAAGATTTCTTTCGAATTAATCTCGGACTCTCACGATTGACTTTTTGCTGCGCCTTATCTTTGTGTTTTTTGCGCCCAATAAGGACAAAAATACCACCGTTCGATTCAGCGTAAGAAATTATACTCACAGGTGTCAAATATATTACTAAACAACAGTATTAAACACCTTATCGAATTCCTTATTGACTCGTGCGAACAACTATTGTTATCTAAACCGAATTCAAATATAATAATTGCTGGTGACATTAACAATTTAAATATTCGATCTGTTCTTAATCAACTTCCATTTGCTCAACTCGTTAAGACCACTACGAGAGGGCTAAAAATATTAGATGTCTTTATTACAAATCTCCCAAACCATTGGAAATCTGTTATAGTTGTAAAAAGCTTGGTGAGATCCGACCATGATATGGTTATCACATACCCCCGAAACATAGTTAAAGCAATAAGGACAAATTCCTATTTCAGAAATGTGAGACAACATCATCAATTGAATATGCTTCGTGATCTTGAATCTATTGATTGGAACACGATAATTATGAATAGTCATAACCTAGATGAGATCCTAAAATTTTATGAAATCATATGGCCAAAATTCGATAAGAGCTTCCCATTAATTGAGGTTAGAACGTCATAGCGCGACCCTCCGTTCATGTCTCCTCTTGTGAACCACCTTCTGAATCAAAGGAAAAGAGACATACAAAACGGAAATACTGAAGCAAATACACGATTGCAAGAAAAAATCAACAAGTTAATTCGGGAAAATCAATTAAGTGCAGTCAAACAGGAGTTTGGCAACCAGAAAACTGGATCGAAAAGTTGGTGGTCTAACATAAATAGCATTACCTCGAGAAAAAATAAACATGATGTATCTGTAAGTGCCTCTCTTAACCCTCGTGAAATTAACAATTATTTTCAAAGTGTGAATACAGACCCAAATTATACGACTCCCGAGCCTCTTCATATCTCCGAAGGAACAAGAATTCCTTCGTTGTCAATTCATGAAGTTCAACATCTTTTACTGAATCAAAAACGCTCTTCATCGGGTCCGGACAATCTGCCATATTGGTTTTGGAAATCGTTTGCTATCGAATTAGCTCCTATTGTCACAGAAATTTTTAACATGTCACTAAAAACCAGCAAAGTACCAACCTCGTTCCCAGGGCTTCAGTGTGAGGACGAGGCGAGGCACGAGGAAGCCCTGGTTTGGGCCGGTCACGTGACGACAAAAAATGGCAGTATTTGACAGCTACTCGTCAAGGAGTGGCGAGATATTCTTAAATGAATTATACAAGTCTTCGAAACAAATAAATGGCCAAAAGACTTCTCAATCGATATTATTTATGTGTAGAGTGTAGTTTGGCACGAATCAGCTAAAATCTATGAAGATCCCGTCTTTGTTTTCTAAGATATACCGATATTTCTGGAGATTTTCAACTACAGGCAAAGATGCATCCAAGCTGCATCTAGGCGTCTCCATGCAAGTGGTGATTCACACGAAATTTCCTTTCTCTCGTCTTGAACAATATGGCTATTGCTATAATTAATATTTAGTTTAAATATGCTCTTATAGATCTGACTTAGTTCAATATAAATAAACACAAATATAAACCTCGCGTAACCTGTTTACGCTGTACAGGAATA